ACAACATTAATGTCTTGTGCGGATATCTGTATTTTGACTTTCGGTTTTAAGTAAGCGATTTAAAAGTTCCCGAGTCCCAGCGGAGTCACACGTTGATTAACCGGTGGGAATATACACAATAGGCCTAACTGATATTGAACACAAGAGGGCAGTATAGCACTACGTATGACTCAGATTATTTTTTCTTCTTCTGAATTTTAAAACCTGGCTGTTTTTGAACGTAAACATAATTCTTAAATGAAAAAAGGGAAAAACTGGTTTAATTATAATATTTGTATAATTTAATTTAGAAACAAATGATGTATAATTACATTTTTAGAAGATATGAGGCTTTTAGTGTTTACTTTTTTGACATTACTTTAATCTTTTGCCAAAGTTGCACATGCCTACTGGCTAATAAATGTGATGTATCTGTCGAGCTATCTGTATCTATCTGTTTCAAGCAATTTCAAGCATGCTAAGAGTCCCAAAAGTATCAAAAAAGAATGTTAAAGTTTGATTTGTTGCCACAGCAACAGTATCAAAGATATCAAGAATCCATTCACAGGTCTACATCTGCTGTATTTTTACATTATACAGATGAAGTTTGAAGCAAATCGGTTAAAAATAAGAGGGTGATATCAAAGCATTTTGAAAGTGACACACTTCCTGCTGCCAGTTGGTGGCGCTATAACTTTGACTCACAATAGTCACATCCATGTAATCAGCCTCTTACAGTGAACACACTGCTGAAGTTTCATCAAGATCAGTTAATGTATGCTGAAGTTATAACACACTTCCTGTTTCACGTTTCTCGCCATAATTTTGTTTCCTCGCCACGGCCAAACCGTTCGAGATATCAAAAATCCCCTCGCAAACTTTCATCCTCAATGCCTTGACTTCATGCTGACCGAGTTTCGTGCCGTGTGTTTGAATTCTCTAGGAGGAGTATTGCACATTCCATTGCGAGCGTTTTACAAACAAACCTCAATAGCCGACTTCCTGTTTGGCTGGGGTAAAAAGTAAGAGCGTGAGGTATAGATGAAACGATGAGATCAACATGTGTACCGAGTTTCATATTATTACATGCAAGCGTGTTTGATTTATGGACCAAGTGTTCGGACCCCGTTCCAGGGGGCGCTGTCTAGCCCCCCTGCCACACCCAGGTACCATCTTCAGCCCGGCTCTGATGGCTGTGGGATCTGACCTGTGTGCAAAGTTTCAAGAGTTTTCAAACCCGTTAAGGGCCCCAAAAGCCGCTAAGAGTCTCAAAATCATAAAAAAAAAGAATTTTAAAGTTTGATGCGTTGCCACGGCAACAGTATCAAAGATATCAAGAATCCATTCACAGGTCTTCATCTGCTATGTATTTACATTATACAGATTAAGTTTGAAGCACATCGGGTAAAAATAAAAGGGTGAGTTCAAAGCATTTTGAAAGTGACACACTTCCTGCTACCAGTTGGTGGCGCTATAACTTTGACTCACAATAGTCACATCCATGTGATCGTCCTCTTACAGCGAACACACTGCTGAAGTTTCATCAAGATCAGTTAATGTATGCTGAAGTTATAACACACTTCCTGTTTCACGTTTCTCGCCATAATTTCGTTTCCTCGCCATGGCCAAACCGTTCGAGATATCAAAAATCCCCTCGCAAACTTTCATCGTCAATGCCTTGACTTCATGCTGACCGAGTTTCGTGCCGTGTGTTTGAATTCTCTAGGAGTAGTACTTCAAATTCCATTGCGAGTGTTTTATGAACAACCCTAAATAACCGACTTCCTGTTGGGCTGGGGTAAAAAGTAATAGTATGAGGTATATATGAACGATGAGATCAACATGTGTACCGAGTTTCATATTATTACATACAAGCGTGTTTGAGTTATGGACCAAGTTTTCGGACCCCGTTCCAGGGGGCGCTGTCTAGTCCCCCTGCCACGCCCGGGTACCATCTTCAGCCCGGCCCTGATGGCCGCGGGTTCTGACCCGTGTGCTAAGTTTCAAGAGTTTTTGAGCATGTTTAGGGCCCCAAAAGTGCCCGAATAGTCGTATAAATAATAATAATAATAATAATAATAATAATAATAATCCTAAGGAAAACAATAGGGCCTTCGCCCTTTCAGGGCTTGGGCCCTAATAATAATCCTAAGGAAAACAATAGGGCCTTCGCCCTTTCAGGGCTTGGGCCCTAATAAAAAGACTCATGTTGGAATTCTTGAGGAAAGAAAGGATAGATTTTGTGTAAAAATAATCAACATAAAGGCCTAGGTGTGAAATGCACTGCCCGCCACTGTTAATAAAAAAAAAAAAAAAAAAAAAAAACACATTCAAGGAGAAAAGAAAAAGCGTCATCAGTGTCAATGCTTGGGTCTCCAGATAAAAAATTCTGAACTGTCATTTTGGACTATAAAATTGTTTATTCTTTTTATCTAATTGCCCAAATGGTTGGACATTTTAAATATGATTGTTTAATTGATTTATAATTTTCTCAAATTAATACTGAATTAACTTCCATACAAGGCAACATTTATTGCAAATACATTGTTTTTCACTTTAATTAAATTGGTGAATAATATTGATTTAAAATACAAAATCAATCCATTCTCATTTTTTTTTATGATTACAATTGTTTGTCTAACAAAAAATGCAGTGTATTGATAAAATATTTTATTAATTTGGTTCAAATACGTTTACGAGAACTAGCTTTCTCTGAGCATTTTGTATTCTTTTTATCTGTTCTGTCAAATGAACTTGTTTTATTCACTCCTATTTCAGTCCATCACATTCACATTCCATCCATGTCTTTTTGTTTTTTCACCTTTTAATTCCCTACGTATATATATACATATATATACCACCTTTCTTCCCCTTCAAACGGCTCATCCCACAGTTTTCTGTCTCTCTTTCTCCCTCTGCCTGATCTTCTCATTCTCTCTCTCCCTCTCTCTGTAGTACTCTTCCTTCAGATCTTCTCTATCTCTGCGTCTGCAGCCATGGGCAGAGATGTGGAAAATGTCTACATTATTCCCAGAGTAGGCATCCCAGTGAGTGGCTCTGAAAACAGCCTCCCGGGCCAGTCCCACCGCCTCATCCACAGTCATTCCCCATTTCCAACCATCATCAAGCACGGCGTATGCATAGGGTGACCCTGAGCCCACTGATATTAGTTCTCCTCTCAGTTGCAGGCCATCACTGCAAACATAGCATACCCTGGGACCAGACCGTCCTCCAAAAGTAGTCAGAACATTTTTTGTATTTTGATCTAAGGCAGTTGCGCGAGTGTCCTTCAAGATATCCTCCTGCTCATTTATTGAGGCCATTTTCTCACTACCTAGAGCAGATTCATCTGAAATTGCAGTGGTATCCTGTTCCAATGCTTCCTTAACATCTGCCATTTCCACACTCGACCGTAGGGTTTCCTGCATCTGAGTTTCTTCTCCATCCCATCCACACAGAGTAGCTGCCACACACACATTAGTGCCTTTGAATGGATGTAGCATCATGGAGAGCAGCTTTGCAGCTCCATTAACACTTAGTCTCCTGCGATGGCGAAGCTGGTAAAGCCTCATCTCACGGGTGAGGATCCGTTCCCATAGCATACAATCGGCACCGCTGCCCGATGTGTTGACCACCAGGTGAGAGTGGATGGGCATAATCTTCTGACTTATCGGACAGCAAATTAGACCCTTACAGCTGGCGCGAGTGTCCGCAGCGGCTATCACGCCATCCTGAAATATAAAACCCAAAGTCGTTGTACCATGTGATAGCTGAAAGGGTTGCTGATGAGGTGACAGACATGAGAACGTTGAAGAGAGAAGAGATTGTGCCTTGCTTTTTCTGCTGTTCTGCTGAGGGGGGGAAAGAAAATGAAAAGGACTGTCACTGTCAAACGGTGTCATCCACATGTATCCCATCTCATTTGGTAGATAAGTGCACGGGCTGCTGTCATCCAGGGTCTCCAGGAAATCACAAACATCCTCGAGAGCCATTTTTTTTTTTTAGTGAGAAAGCTAGTGAGTTAATGCAATGTTGAGCCTTGGAAGAAGCACAGACAAAAAAGACCCTTCTGAGACCTGTGATTTATATAGGAGGTGGAGAGTATTCATATTCCCGTGTACACAAGCATGCACTTGTGATGTCTCAGCAAAAATCTTTGCTGCCCTTTTTATCTGATATGCTTCCGTGGTAATCATTGAGGCACAACACTGAAGCGACTCTTCAAACATAATCATAAAAGTGCTGAGATGAGCTCAGTCTGTTATTCACACACATAAAAAGACTCAATTGCAAATCTTACAAAATATTCTCAAAAAGGTTTACGAGGAGTAGACTTAAACCAAGTTTATTACAACACTGAATTTAAATTAAATGCTTAATTGCCTACTTGTGTATATAACAGATTTAATAATAATTTTTTAAAATAGCAAAGTGGATTCTCGTTTTAGTTTATTAACTGTTTTTTTTTTTTCTTCAGATTTTGTTTTGGCTAATTCTGAAGGGCAGGTACCTTAAAAATGTAGTAGGCTTATAGCCTGGTGGTGCGTAAAAAAAAAGTTAATTTCACATCTCATGTGGTTTACTGGTAAATGATGTGAATAACTAATTTAATATTATGTTTTGGAGAGTTACTCAGCTTGAGGCAATAGTAAATACCTCAAACAGCACTATTCTTTTATCTGTAAAATTCCAGTGCAAAATCCATTTGTGACACGACAGGTTTAATCTGGAAGTGTTTAATTAAAATAAGGCGTCGTAACGGTAGTTGCCGTGGTTATATCCTCAGTTTATGACAATCATGTAGTATTAGAAACAAGCTGGGTATTACATAAACGACACAATCCCTTAAAACCACTAAAAGGTAAACATTGTCTCAAAATTACTGGAGCAAATTCAAGTTCGCCTCTTTCTAGTCTGCAGCATCACGTCTCGGTAGTGTCTGTGCTGACCTCAAAGCCTGAACTCGTTCTGATTCTGTAGTCTCGCGAGAGTCGTATGAGAAAGAGAAACTGCGATTCTGACCGTCACCATTTGGGATCCACCACCGCATGTTTGCTAGGGTGCAGGCACGCTTCTATTGAGCCAACATGACTTCAGTTTCTCCGTAGTCCTCTATCATTTTAATTTTCCCTCCCACCCAGTCTCCTAACGATGGCGTCCGGCAGTGCAGGTAGCAGGGTCTCCTGCGGGAGAGATTTGAGTTGTGTTCCCGAAGTGGCGGATACACTCGCCGCGGTCGCCAAATTAGGGTAAGCAAGGGGAGCTTTCGGAGCAGTAACTGAGAAAACATATTTCAGAATTGAAACTATATGGAGAGCAGTGTCTTCAGTTGTAGTTCACTCGGCTAGGTCTCTGCACGTGATGCTCACCATAGTGCACACGAGCATTTGCTAGCTTAGCGGCTTCCTCAGATCTGGTATTGCACACATAAGTCTGCTCATCATTTTTGCCAGTATGGCTTTCTTTTGAAACATATATGGATATCTCTAGAATGAGTCTTAAGAATTAAATGGGTTCTTATTATTTAATAGATGTTTTTGACTGGACTTAATTCAATCGTGTTGATGTAATAATTGTGGCAGAAGTATTACTGAATGCAGATTCAGTCCATTTGTTATTTAAAGTGGATGTAATTGCAAAGACTACAATTAACACCATTCCAGAAAAGTGATGAAACTTTACAAGATTTTTTTTTATGTCTTCACTTTTATTTTTGACAAAAGGTGCATTTATCAGTTACATTGCAGTATTTTAATAAGAGAGCATTGTAAGACTAGGCTAGATTTTATGCAGGATTTAAAAATGCAAAATTTTATTGGGACTGCAATATGTTTATGGTAATAACCAAGTTTTCCTCTACTGAATGTCATCTATTTTTTAAACTGGATAGAATATTGTAAGATATTCATAAAACTTTCATATGACAGAATGTCACCAAAAGTTTTATTATAACATCCTTCAGATGAGACGTTCTGGGGTCTCTGTGTGTGGTCATTAAAATTCCCAGGACGTCCTTCGTTAAAAGAATAGGAGTTTAACCCCGGCATCCTGGCCGAATTTGCTCGTTGGCCTCTGTCCATCATGGCCTCCTAATCATCCCCATATACACTGATTGGCTTCATCACTGTCTCCTCTCCACCAGTAAGCTGGTGGTTGTGTGGTCATGGTGGGCATTTTGGCGCAATATGGCTGCCTTCAGATCATCCAGGTGGATGCTGCACATTGCTGGTTGTTTAGGGGATTTTCCCCCCTATTTATAAGCTTTTTGTAATACCAAACAAGCTTGGTGTTTCTGAATTAAAAAATTATATACTTTATTGATTACGAACCAAAGATCCATAAAGTCCAAAACAAAATTTTATGACCTCCCCCCATTGAAGACTTTTGCTATTAACATAGCAGCCAATATCTGTTTTCATTGTGTGCCTTTTTGTCTAAATACATGTCATTCTGTCCTATAGCTTTGATTTCCTGTGCATGCCGTTGTTCCACCCACGGTTTCGTCGGGAGTTTGAACTGGACCCTGCTAAGTCACGACCCGGAGCCCAAACACGTTCTGACCTGCTGTTATGTGGCAGAGGTGAGATATAAAGAAACTATTGCATGAGTGAATTATTACATGCAGGACACTGTCAATTGCTATGAAAGATGGATATCCATGTGCACATATATCAATTATGTATCATAGATATCAATCAATGAAAACATATTGTAACTTTCAGAACTCAAAAACATCGGCATCTTTTTGATGTCAGATAGAAAAAATCCCTCGCATGTGGCTGCTGACGTTTACACATCAAGATGACTAGTCTATTCCGTAACTTTCCCTGTGACAGGAAGATAATTTGGAGGATGTTGTATAGATATTAATCCTGACACCAGATGAATCAATGATAAAAGTAAAATGAGGTCAAGCGTCACTTGCCCAATCGGACCAGTGTTGCATCACAAAAGTTTATAATTTGTGTGTCTTTTTTAGCCTTGGCAATTTAAATATTCAAGTGCAAGAAGACAGGAAAGAGAAATCAATTCCACAGTGTGAGCAGTTTTGTGTGCGCGCACATCCGAAGCACGTACCCGAAAAGCCGCTTCTCAGAAGTTATATCTTAAATGAATCTAAGCAGTTGAGAAATAAAACACATGTGTAACAGTATATTGGATCCATGCAGCTCTTAAAGTGAAAACAGCCCAATAAACCTTCTGCTGTCTTTGTTTTGCAAACACAAAAGGACAAAGAAAAAAAATCACTCGCTGCTGAATCACTTTTGTAACTTTTAATAAGGATTAATATATATATATATATATATATATACACATTTTATTATTTTTCTCTACCTGAAAAGTACTGTTACACTTTTAAAAGCAGTGTTTAATTTGTTTGTATGTTTGTTTTGTTGTATTTGTGCTATTGCTTGTAATTTGATTATTTGTCCTTATTTTCTTACTGACAGTTTACTTGTCTTTAACAATATTTAAAATATTTGAGTTAGGTTTGTAGTTTTTGGTGTCACTTAACCTTTAAGTTTATTGGTCAAAAACAATGAAGACCGTAACTAGGCCTATTTCATTTATTTTTACTTTTTTGTGGTGGAGCCATTGAACATTTTGTCAGGACAAGTAAAAATGTTGGGTCTGTGGAAAAATCCTTAGTGTTGTGCCCTGGCTGTGAAGTCACATTTCACATTCAAAGAGAAACTTAAAAGTGATCTATTAAATTTTAAAGGTCAAAGGTTGGAAAACAGTCATGAAACCTAAATCATGACTATTTTTGCCACAAACTAAATTAAGCGAACCTCAGGGGACAAAATAATAGGAATAAAGATTGTGTGAAAAGACCCCATTAATGTCAGTTTCTCATTAAGTTCCTTTTTAAGAAAATAAAACCTTGAATAACTAACATGTTCTACATTCATCCATGATGCTCTGTGTCATTACATTTACAGAGTTACATACGCTTAGACATTATGATTAAATCTTTGTAATAATAAGATATAGAATAAGAATATAATAAGAATAACATTCTTTCTTCATTAGATTGGAACACACTTATCGTGGGAAAGCTGTCCTCCTGGATTGAGACAGACTCAGAGTTGACAACAGAGCGCAGGAATTCAGAAGCAGTATGTTCACACTGTCTTCTGTTTATTATTATTTTGCAATTATCTATATGTTTGAGGTCCTTATGTATTTTTTTTTTTTTCTTTTCAAAGTTTTTAAACATTCCTCATCTAATCTGAATTCATTAGGCAGATATTCATTTGCTGTAACCTACTATTGTCACAAATGACGTGTATAAATATCTTGACCCGATTGGGCTCCTTCAGACACACTGCAGTATTATTGTAGATGTAATCAAGAGTCAGATGGAAAGAGGACCATATATTGGAGATCGGCCCAACAGAGAGGAAGCTAAGCAGATTTGTTGATTATTTTGATGTGATCTCTCCTTCTAATTTCTTTTGTGCCCTTGCTGCAGGCGGTGGTACAGGAGCTCAATTTCTGTGCTTATCTCGGGCTGCCAGCTTTCATGATCCCCCTAAGGGGTCCGCACTATGCCAACCTGGCTCGGATCCTGCTCAACCACATCCACACAGGACATCACTCTTGCATGGTAATGGCAGTCTGTAGCATAGAATGAAAACAAATATGCTCCGAAACACACCATTATTCTTTTATGTATACACCCTGGGCCTATGATTTACACACAATCTTTGTTCCAGCTGCTTCCCACTAATGGAAATTTAATTAGTGGTGTGAATAGACCAATTATCATGTTTGCTTGCGGTCCATCTGTTTTTTTTAAATAATACTATATGTATTATCCAAAAAGGTCAAGGGATCAGATCCTTTTGCTATACTTAAAGGGGCTGTCAGATTAACACATTCATGTGCTTAATTGTATATGAAAAAAAAATGTTAAAGGTTGTATCAGCAATTTCAGGCCCAAACATAAACGATCACATTCATCAAATTCGGTGAATGTGATCATTTATGTTTGGGCCTGAAATCGCTGATGCAACCTTTTAAGAACTTAAAGTGCCGTCTAAATCCAAATAAATGCTTTTATAAGTCCAAAATCGTCTGTTTGTAATTTGAAATGCTGTCTTTTAAGCACAGTGGTCATGGACACTGAATAAACATTAAGATCTGATGTAATTGTCAGAAAATGAATGGTCTACATCTCATCTAATCTGAATTCATTGGGCAGATATTCATTTGCTGTAACCTACTGTTGTCACAAATTACATGTACAATATCTTGACTTGATTGGCCTCCTTCAAACACACTGCAGTATTATTGTAGATGTAATCAAGAGTCGGATAGAAACGAGGCCCAACAGAGAGGAAGCTAAGCAGATTTGTTCATTATTTTGATGTAGATCAACAAAATTAATGCATTCAGTTTCAAATAAATGTTGTTTATTTGAACTTCCTATTCAAAGAAGAATCCTGAAAAATGGATTGCTGTTTCCACAAAACTAAAGTAGCACAATGGTTTTCGAAATTGATGATAATAAGAAATGTCTCTTGAGCACCAAATCAGCATATTAGAATGTGTTTTTTAAAAGATCATATCGATTATAAATATTAATGTGTGATTTAATTCTGCATATCATACAAATTAATGAATTGACTGCATTAGTTGTTTATGATTTGTAATGATGGCATTAATAATGGCATTAATTCCACACCTCATGTACATTCAGGACAGACATTTTCCTGTCATGCTTGCTTATTAGAAAGTAAGTTATTAGAATTTGTTCAAAATACAAAGACAACCTCTGTTCCAATAAGGACACAGCATCAACTCAATTAAAATGCTAAGCCTCTTGTGTTGCATCAGTGTGCAAGCAGAAATAAATCCATTGGGTTTTTCTCAGTTGGTTGCTCGTAATGCTGCTTTCTTTGTTGATTGGGAATAAATTGGTTCGATGGTGATTTTGTTTTTAATTTAATAGTTTTGGATACGAGTTCCACTGTTGGCTGCTGAGGACACGCGTGAAGATCTCATTGAGAACGAGCCGTCTAAACCAATAGATGATGGCAGCAATGATGAGAAGACTTGGGGATGGTGAGACGGCTAAAACAAAGCCACTTGTTCAATTAAAAGCAGATATTAAATAAGTTATCTAATGAAACATCCCATCGAGTATGAATGTGACAGTCTCTCCTAGTCTATATTTGGGTCTGCTGTGAGATTAAATCACTCGGTTGCATGAAGTACAAAGCAATCTTCGGCCTCCGTTCATTTAATTTCCCGTTTCCTCTTCAGGTGGCACTCATTCAGAACACTCTGTGACTATAACAAGAGGATTTGCCTTGGTAAGGGCATAAAAGCTCACATTTCCAGTGCTTATAATTGTCTATTAAAAATTAAGCTGTGAATGCAAACACTCGTTTTTTTTTTTCTTCTGTGTGCAGCAATTGAGATTGGAGAAGACCTGCCATCTGACACGGTGGTCGACAAGTGGCTTGGAGAGCCGATCAAAGCAGCCATTCTCCCCACCAGCATATTTTTAACCAATAAAAAAGGATTTCCGGTCCTTTCAAAAGCCCACCAGCGAGTTCTCTTCCGCCTCTTCAAGGTAAATGCTACCGATATTGTGTCACATTCATTAGATTCAGTGCGTTATCTAACTATCTAAGGTCTCCTCAGCTTGAGGCTCAGTTTATTTTCACAGGGGCGAACCGCCATAGTGAGAAAGACTTGCGCTCGTATCTGCAGTATCTAGAGTACCTCAACCAAAACCGTCCCGCACCTAATGCCTACGAGCTCTTCGCCAAAGGCTATGAAGATTACCTACAGTCACCACTGCAGGTACGTCTGCCAAAGCGTAAACTTTTTGCCTTGTGCGTTTGTATTAGCACAATATTGATTCTTTTGGTTTCGATTATGCTAATGTGATGCCTAATTGTTTTGTCAGCCTTTAATGGACAATTTGGAATCACAGACGTATGAAGTTTTTGAAAAGGATCCGATTAAATATTCTCAGTACCAACAGGTGAGTTAAAAGGACTTGCTAATAGAAAGCAGAATCTTATCATCAGTTAATCATCAGTTATTTTCATTAGAGCTGTTTGTTGCATCATTAGAGTTTATATTAAATTGTCAATAAAATGGGCAAAAAAAATCCCATTGACTTGCATCGAAAGAGGGAACTCAGCCATTAATGATCATCACAGTGTAATAGTGTTGAGGAGGAATAATTTGATTTGGGGTAATAAGGAAACACCTGTGCATCTACACAGAAATGGGTTAAACAGATCTGAGCACTTTAGGAATTACATACACTACTGTTCAAAAAGTTTTTTTTAAGAAACAAACTTTTATTCACCAACGACACATTAAAATCTTCAAAAGTGGCCAATAAGACTTTTGCGTTGTTACAAAAACAATTCTATTTAAATAAAATGATCTCTTTTTCCACAAAAATTAAACTGTTTTTAACATTGATAATAAGAAATGTTTCTTGAGCTCCAAATCAAATAAGCATATTAGAATGATTTCTGAAGGATAATGTGACACCGAAAACTGGAGTAATGAAGCTGAAAATTCAGTTTTGCAATCACTGGATTAAAATGTATAATATATTCAAATAGAAAAAAAATTATTTTAAATTGTAATCATTTTTCACAATATTATTAGTTTTGATCAAATAAATGCAGTCTTGTTGAGCAAGACCTTTTCTTTCAGAAACAAAATCTTACTGACCTTAAACAGTTGTGAACCAGCACCCTTCGTGGTAGCGAAGGAAAGGCACCACATGAGAAAAAAAACTGTAGCGTGAACTGTTGTTGCTACCATTGTTGTATCTATATTAATTTTGGTGAATTATTTTTTTTCGGACAGGCTGTATATAGATGTCTGCTAGACAGAGTTCCTGAAGAGCAGATGGAAACCAATGTGCAGTAAGTTACTTCACACATTAACAGGTGTCCCCTTTGTCAGTTCTTAATGAACTAGGCAGAAAATTGCAGAGATATGATGTTTGCTTGGCAGACTGTCAACGCTGAGTTTTCTTTTCAGGATTTTGATGGTACTAGGTGCAGGCCGTGGTCCACTGGTAAACGCCTCACTTCGTGCGGCAAACCAGGCTAAGAGGAAGTTGCGCGTATATGCTGTTGAGAAGAACCCTAATGCTGTAGTCACGTAAGTAACTTAACACTGAAGTGTGACTTTTCTTCCATTCTCCCTTTCCCTTAACAATAAAATACTAGAATTTCAGGGGTTTTTTATGTTTTTGAAAGAAATCTCACCAAAGCTGTAATTATTTGATCTAAAATACAATGAAAACAGCAATATTGTGAAGTATTATGACTATTTAAAAGAGCAGCTTTTTATTTTAACTAATTTTAAAATAACCTTTTCCTGTGATGAAGCTAAAATTTCAGCCACTACTCCAGTCTTCAGGGTCACTTGATCTCAAATGATATGTATTTTTAACTATTTGCTTTCAAGTTACTTCTATTTCTTGAATACATAAACCTTTTCTGAATATGCAAATGTGATGTTTCAAGTTGCACTGAAATTAGGCACTTCCAACCCAGTACGCAGTCAAAGATAAAAAAAATAACGTGATTTCAAGTTCAATCATTTCTATGGAAATCAGCAGGGCTTTGTTTTCCCCTTCTCTTTCTCAGGCTGGAGAACTGGAAATTTGAGGAGTGGGGTGATCAAGTGACTGTTGTGTCATGTGACATGAGGGAATGGACGGCTCCAGAGAAAGCAGATATCATTGTGAGCGAGCTTTTAGGGTCATTCGGGGATAATGAGCTTTCACCCGAATGCCTTGATGGAGCACAGCACTTCCTCAAAGGTTTGGGATGATATAAATTTTGGCTTTGTTGTAATTCACCGTAATTTGCATCTCTTGATCAGCCCATAAAGTCTTTTTTTCCTCCTAGATGGTGGTGTAAGCATTCCCTGCTCCTACACGTCTTTCCTGGCTCCTTTGTCCTCATCTAAACTATACAATGAAGTACGAGGCTGTCGGGAACGGGACAAAGACCCCGAGTGTCATTTTGAGACGCCGTATGTTGTCAGACTACACAACTTCCACCAACTTGCAGACCCCAAGCCATGCTTCACCTTCGTACACCCCACCACAGGTATGAGATCATGCAGAGACAGACGCATAGATGCCAAGAAGACCAACCTCTAGTTTCTTTTTTTAACACTTTCTACAGAGCCTTAAACTCTTGGTTTATACCTTGCACAGATATGAATAATAACCGGTATCAATGTCTACGATTCCCCGTGGGATGTAATTCAGTGCTTCACGGCTTTGCTGGATACTTCGAGGCCACACTCTACAAAGATGTCACACTCAGTAAGTCTCATGTTGTAGCAGTGTTTTGGCACACGCTGGCTCAGTTTAAAGGCACATTTCACAATGTAAACCTTTTGTTGTTCATTCACACTTGACTATTCATATTTAAACAAAGTAATTTCTGGGTTACCACATTGAGTATTTTAATGGCCACAAATTGGCATGGTTATTGGGAGAGGGCAATTAAGAATCATTGCCTTATCTTATAATCATTGCCATTAAAATCAAATTTACATGAGGGTGGATCACATTTACATTCAAATGTTTAATAATCTACACAGAATCCATCAAACTGTAAAAGTGTTTAAATTGTATCAAGTCAATTTACTGAACAAAAGTGCTGTCAGTGTGGTATTTTCAACAACTTAATATCTCTTTGTTCATCTTTGCAGGTATAAAACCTGAAACACACTCTCCTGGGATGTTCTCTTGGTTCCCCATCTTTTTCCCTTTGAAAGTAAGCGCAAGACGGTAGACCTTTTTTACTTAATGAAATATAAGCATACATTTCTGTTCAGTAAGATTTTTGTAGAAAGAAATGAATACTTTAAATCAGGGAGGAAGCATTAAAATGATCTAAACTGACAGTAAAGACATTTACAATGTTATGCAATGTTAATGCTTTTGAACTTTCTATTCATCAAAGCATGAACTTTTCCTATTTCATCATTTCCATTAGTCGCTAGGCGTTTTAGGAAGCTTCCTCTTGAAAGTATGCATGCCATGCTACCTTAACATTGAGTGAATTCTTCACATAGCTTCATCTTAGCAGTCAGTTTATCTTTATAATTGACTTATCTAACTGTACAGTTACACAGATACTGTATTATTAATGCTGCTCTGTTTCACCTCAGTCCTCCAATGCTATTTAAATCATCACACAATGTATGAATATTCTTGTAATACCATTTGGTAAGAGTGCGTCATGGACATAAATACAGTTAGAACTTTTGGTTTGAAGCCAGTAAAGCACTTTCAAAGCGTGGCAGTTTATCAACTCCAGTTAATGCGCTAAAGCGTAGTCACGTTGGGAATGTAATCCTAACACCTATTTCTTTCCCTCTCTCCCACCGTGCAGCAGCCGATCCCGCTGTCCTGCGGTGATAACGTGAGCGTGAGGTTCTGGAGGTGTAACAATGGAAAGAAGGTCTGGTATGAATGGGCTGTGACTGAGCCTACATGCTCCGCCATTCACAACCCCGCCGGGCGCTCTTACACCATCGGCCTGTAGCAAGACTTCCACACTAACATGGGGTTACACTGACTTATTTTGGTTCTTTTTAGTCTAGTGGCAGGTTTAAAGGGCCCACCTACACTCACAGAGATCGTTCTACGTGACAGCGTAGGTCATTTATGTAATGTTCGTAAGGATGGAAATTAAAACTGCACTTACGAGGTATCCTTTAAAGCAAAGTGCGATTGTCATGGTGCTCTTTCTTAGTTCAAACACCTGATATTTTGAAAAAAAAAAAAATTAAAGAGTATTTGGCACTTATTAACAAAAACATCTGTTAGTTTTTGAAGACCATTATTTTCTAGAGCTGATTATGTAAGTCAGGTGGTATATTTTGACATCGTACATAATACATCAGCCATATTTCCCTATTGTCCACCAATGCCCTGCGATGCCCTCGTGTTTAGAACAATCATAGTATGATGTCCCCAATCAGGACATGTTAGGAAACCTATTCCATACTTTTATACTGTTTTTTTTTTCCTGATAACATCTTACAACATGAATAATAATAAATAAAAATTCTACAAAATTATGTGGTGATCTTTCTCTTTATTATGATTGCACCGCTCTAAACCCAAGCTCTTGGTTGAGCCCAAGTTCTTTTTGTTTGCTTTTGTAGAGTTATGGTTACAAACTCTTTCTCCATCCCCCTACACTTCTATATTTTATTATATCTTAGTATTAATTCTTTTCTACACCAAAAAGAAAGTGAGAAAAGCTAAAGATGAATGTGCTTATTATTTTTAATTGTAAATCATAATTGATAAACTTATGATAAAAATATTGACTTGTCATAATTATTTCATGCTCCATATGCATCATCTTAAAAAAACTTTTACAATTATTTTTTTATTTATTATTATTTAATATCAATCTTAAACGGTATAAGAAAAGTCTTTTTTCAAGGGGTCTTAAATGAGGGCAGAAAAAAAAGAATTTTCAGGAAGGGCATCCAGCGTAAAACCTATGCCAAATCCACCGTATGAACAGTAATGCGTCTTGAAAGAAGGTCTTTAAAAAGGTTATAAAAAGCTTTAAATTTGATTTAAAAAAATTATTCTACAGATACCCTGGATAATCGTGAAGCCAGTGTTGTTGTGTTGTGCTGGTCGGGATGCTCAAACAAACCCAACATTTTTACGTGAATATTTGAATGCAAAATTAAAAACAATGTTTATGTAAACATCAAATTGTTGTATGCAATCAAAGTCACTGTAGCTGTTTAAATGCATTTCAGAGAGGGAATTATTTTAGCTAAACAATGATAGACAAGGGAAACCATCAGCTCTGGTTTTGTTTAGATTCATTCATTACTCATTAAGAGAGCACAGCTTATGAACAACATAGATTTTTGCCAAGACATCTGAACCTACTGTATTTGCTAGCATCACAGGGAATATTCACAAATAGCTGTTCAAGCACTGTAGTTGATTGTGACCATCTTCTTTGAGACCAACTTTGGAAGACACTTCAGGAGACATTCTCTTTCTAGTTGAATTATGAATCCATTTAGATCCTTTCATGTTTTTTTTAACTATTCAGAAACAATATTTTCTTTGGAATTAAATTTAACCAGCCATTGCATCATTATTCTGGTCATCGTAAATTACTCTTGGCTGCTTCTTCGGCTACTTCAACATCTTTGAGTTTCTTTTCCGCCACCGATGCCTTTGGCTAACTAACTGGGTGGTTTGTGAGACATTTTCACTTGTAAATCAGGTTTGGAAGGGTATGCGTTGTGAGAAAAACTATACAAATATATTCAAATGTAACTATTGGAAAAGATATTGGTTTGCATGGCTGACTGAGAAGCTTTGTTCTCTGGCCAGAGAGTTCATTTTGTCACACGGCCCCTAGCAAACACAATTCTGGCACCATGAAGTGCTGAAAAAATTGTGCCCTCAATATCTGTTCAGTGCATCGAATTCTAATTATCCAAATGCCAAACAACCCAACACACTTTTTTTGTGTGTGAATTTACTTATTTTCTTTTATAATTCTTTTATAATTTTATAATTGTGACTGCCATAATTGCAATTCTTTTGCAATTGCAACTTTTGTTGTCATGAATATGATTTACCAAAGCATGAGTTTTTTTCTTAGATGACAGAAATGGAGTTCCATATTTTTGTAACTTTGATTCTCACCTTAACAGGTTTTAATCTTTTATTGTCTTGATAATTGTTGGTCAAGAGGTCATAATATTTCCTCTGTTACACTCATCTACTAAACTAGACCAAACCAGAGCAGTGTAGGCAGGTTTATCAGATTAATACATTAAGTTTGGGGTGGGAGGATACAGTTACGGAGACTCAACACCAACAGCACAAAGTCGCTGCTGTCTGTGTGGAAATGTGCAGTAGTGGTGCCCGACGCAGGGCTTCATCAGTGCCGGAAACAGCAGTAGCCTTCAAGAAAGAGATCTGTGGGTAAGTCTAAGAAAGTGTCTTTTATGCTGTAAATTTAGCTCTATTTATTGTCCTTCCACTTTATCTAGTAGAACAATACATGAAGATGTATGCATATATTGTGTACTCTACATATAAGATATTTTGAGAATGGTTTAAGTGTTTTTGTCCATACAATGAAAGTGAAGGTGGTCCAATGTTGTTCTCTGACGAGAGGTTCTCTCGTATTGCGTAAGTTAGCTTAAAGGAATTTAATTGCCTAATCTCGTATTGAGTGAGTTAGCTTACGCTACGGGAAAGATTAATCTTTTTGAGATATTGAGAATTATCCTTAATGTTTGTATTCATTGTCAAAGTAGTTATTATTTGCGTGATCATTTTAAGATTGATATTTTTTTCTCTTGTTTGCACACAATTAACATCAACCCCCAGTTTCACAGTCTAGGCTTTTAACTGAAAGCAACTTGCACGGACATATCTTAAAATGTGCCAGTGCTACTGTTTTGTCTCAAGAGCCACACTCATGTTTTTTTTTTTCTAAGGCATGTTTCAAAAAAAGCTACTTAAATGTCCTAATTGAGCTAAGGCCCAACCCTGGCTTAATCTAAGCCCTGTCTGTAAAACCGGGCCTTTGAGCCTATCTGATTTGGAAAAAAAAAACTTAAAAAGGATTTTTACTCATACTGAATAAGTAACATGCTATTGAAAAACAAGGAACGTTTGGTTTGTGAGGAGAGGAATCACGTTTATTTTCTATCACCTCAATATTGCAATCGACACAGCAGCCTCTTAAATGTCTACAAAGTCTCAAATTGCCCATTTTATATGCCCAAAAATGGCATTCTCAAACCAATATCCTACAAAAAGGACACTTCGATGTAACAGATAAATAAAATAATGTTAAGTAAAATTAAATAATCAAAGCCTACTTGTACTGGGCTTTCTGGTTTCACCCTGAAGCCATGTACAGTATCTGCGTCTCTGTATGAAACGTGATTCGCAACTACCTGCTAATGCACTCATGTGTAAAGTCGCCTTGTTGACATGTTTGGGCGTGCAAGGGTGAAATGCACAAGATATAGTATCTTCAATGCAATTGTCTTCTGAATAGGTTTCTAAGGCTGTGGACTGCAGTGTTGGTGATCTATCCAACTAACCAGGCTGTGATTGCCCTCACATTTGCCAATTACGCATTGCAGCCCCTCTTCCCTTATGCTTCCCTCCAGAGAGAGCTCTGGGTCTGCTCGCTGCCGCCTGCCTGTGTAAGTCACATTTAGAACATATACATTACAACATGACTTTCCCTGACAACAGCTTTTATCCAAGATGCTTCCCCTGCAGATCCAACCCTGCTTAACCTGTTTAACCATCTAAAGACATTGGGTGCGGCTCCCTAGTAGTTCAGTAGTCAGGACACTTTAAGGGAGTGAGCGGTTCAGTGCACTGGAAGAATTTTTGCGATTGAGACACTATTTTTTGTGATTGAACTGATTCTGAGACATTTCAATTCACTTAACTGAACTGTCTCAATCGCATGTGTTCACTCCCTAATGTCCCACAATGCACTGTGAAAACAAGGGAGAGTTGATGTTTACTATGAAAAAAATTGCTGCAATAAGTTGTAACAACTCAAAATGTGTTAAATATCAATTTAAAAGAAATATTAAGCTTAGTTAGTTAAGTCAAGCACGAACACTTACTTTTAGGTTGAAACGGCACATTATTTGTTACTGTTGAATTTTCAGTCACGATAATCATATTTTTTTGCATAGTAGGTTCTCATAACGGAAGTTCTGAAGCATGAAAAATAAATCATGTCAGCCAACTCACTACTCATAATGACACGTGATAGATGATTTTCAAATACAAACCATTATTTAATTATATTTCAGCATAAACATCACTAGGCAGGTATTGAATAAAATCTAGCTAGCATTTATAATTTATTTATGGCTGAAATGTTGTACATGTATCAAGCAAAGTGTTTATCGTAATGTACTTTAAATATTATTAAAACATAATGTCAGAGAGATATCAGTTATGCTTTTGTTCATAAATACCAGTTGTACAATGAGGACGTTGTGATTTCCCCGCAAATAGTCATAAGTGTCCCAATGTGTAGTGAGCCAGGGTCTTTGCTGTCCTTACCAGTGCCCGAATTTGTGAACACAATATTCTGATTCACGGCCTATGGAAGCTAAGGAGCTGATTGAGACACACTCCTTGATGTGTGTTCAATAAATGTGTTCAGAGTTGAAACTATGGACTCTGATGGAAGGAAAACAGAAGCCCATAAATCTCATCTATCAAGTTACGGAAATGATTGCAATTTTTTATCACATACCTAAAAAAACTATAAAAATCACTTAATACAAAAATATTTTCACTTAGTAAGCCTTGGCTTGACCGCAAGTAACACATTCAATCAAAAAAACATAACCAATCTTGCTTCTTGCTGTTTCTATATATATTAATAAATAATTGCGGTTAAGGAACTGAAATGTCAGCTTTGTGACTCATGCTGGATTTTCCCCAAAAAACATACTCACACAGGTAGGGTTTTCTTTCACAAGAGCTTAAATTGTACATAATGTGCAGACTAAACCACGTGTTTCTGGCTGATTCCAAAGCCATGAAAAACAATATTGTCTGGCAACTTTAATCCTTGTGGTAGCTTAAACCTGTTGGCTGTTCTTGCATTATTTTAGTTCTTTAAACTAAAGCTGTTCTTTTCATGGCCGTGAATCTTGCAGCAACATATCAGTATTGATATGAGAGTGACATATCAAGCAGAAGCTTGTTTTGTGTTTTCTGAATTTTAGGTTAGTCAATATATAAAAATATGACTGAATTCCTCTTTTCAGTGTAAATTTGCATGGTTATTGTCATCAAATTGAATTTGAATGTTTATAATTTGTTGTTTTCCTTGTAGTGCTGTTAACTTGGATTAACTGCTTCATGTCCGCTGGGCGACGCGTGTACAGGATGTGTTCACCACGAGCAAACTCATCGCCCTCTGCCTCATCATCCTCATGGGCATCGTACAGATCTGCAAGGGTACAGTCCATGGTGCAATAAAATTCATTCATTAATGCTGCGTTCATGTGCTATGGTAATTATGGTAAATACCAAAAGCCGACGTGGAAAATGCACATGAACACCCCCTCATGTGGTATTTTCCACTGGGCAACTCGTAGAATATTTTGATGGACGAGTTGCTGAGATGAGATAACCTTTGATCTTTTCAAAATGGCGGAGAGCACCGAGAGAGTCATGAATGGTAAAAATATGTACTATTCATGATCTAGAAAATATAGGCTACAGCATATTATTTACCTTTTGAGTTTTGATAAATCATTTTCTTGCTGTTGCAGATGACTTAAGCAATCTAAAATAGTTTTAGCTAAATAACAGGTCTGGATCTCCATCACCACATTACGAAAACAAAAGCACTTGAACGCAACACACTGGTAAATACCAGTTCAAAAGTGGAAAATATCCTATTTTCCATAGCACGTGAACGCAGCATAACATCACTCAGATAAACATATTTTACTCATGCTTTACTAATATTGTTTTCCATATTTACAAATAAAATGTTTGTGTGCGTGCAGGTATTCCTAAACTGTCCCCAGGCAGTCTTTGATCTTTGACATTTTTGAATGCAGAGCATTTACTGTGAGGATTGTGTTAGGGGATAGAATATGCAGTTTTTACAGTATAGAAATATTATGCAGTATAGTACTGTAATATTAAATGTCCCCATAAAACATAGAAACCCAACATTTTGGTTTTTGAAAGAGTCTCTTTTCCTGCAAGGCTGTATTAATTTGTTCTATAAATGCAGTAAAAAATACCAATATTGTAAAATATTACGATTTGTAATAAATGTTTTTTCTGTCATCAGTGTCACATGATCCTTCAGAAATCATTGTAATATTCTGATTTGGTGCCCAAGACTCATTTATTATTATCAGTGATGAAAACGGTTGTGCTGTTTAATATTTTTGTAGGAGTTTTTTTCCTAATTATTTGATTAATATGAAGGTCAACAGAAACAGCATTTATTTGAAATAGAAATCTCTTTTGTAACATTATACATGTTACAAAATACAAACATCATACAATGTCACCTTTATGTGGTCTCGCACATAAAGGGCCCAAAGGCCTCGCAATTATGTTAAGTGCCCAAAGGCCTCGCAATAGAATTTTCTATTGTTGTTACTACTGCCATAAACATATTAGCACAAAAAAGACAGTCTAAATTATGTATCAGAGCAAGGAAACAATAAAAGCTTGTTTAACACATGTGCAGTATTAGATGTGAACATAAAGTGCTTGAATATAAGAGGGCAGGCATTAAGCTTACAGTATAACATGGGCATACTTTTCATATTTGACCTATTTTAGCACTATAAACAAAAGAGCACAAATCCATTAAGCACAGACAAGCTCACATATAAAGTCGACTGTCATGCTGGGCCGTTTGTAGTCTGCTGCTTTCATGTGCTTGATGTCCCAGGGACAAAAAAGGAGCTCTGAATGTCTTTAAAAAAAAATCCTCAAAAAAAGAACTATTGATTTTGAAAATGGAAAGTGTACTGTACAGTGTATAATACGCTTTTCAGCTGTTACAAAACTCATTATGCAGTAGTTAATTCAACTTTCTCCATTCATTTGGATACTCTCTTCATGTTAATTCAGGCAAAACACATAAAATGCTTCTCTGTTGTGTCTCCAGGTCATTATTATTGGTTGGAACATGCGTTTCACCCTTTCCAGCCCTATGACATGGGCCGCATTGCTCTCGCTTTCCTCCAGGGCTCCTTCGCTCATGCAGGATGGAACTTTCATAACTATGTAACAATAGAGCTCACCTGTATAAACTTGATCGGTTTTCACCATTCTCTTTAACCCCAGTGCCTTCTTTTTCTCTTTTAATCTCAGTCAAACATTTGGTGAGAAGCTGATTGGGATGATGATGTCATGGATCATGCCCATCTCTGTGGCTCTGTCTACATTCGGAGGGGTCAATGGATCCCTTTTCACATCATCTAGGTCAGTTTTAATGTGTTATTTCTTATTTGCTCCTTCAGTTTGCATTATATTTTGAATTCTCAGCTTTATCATTATCAAGTTGATTGACATTTGGTCTTTCACAGGTTGTTCTTCACAGGTGCGAGGGAGGGTCATCTTCCCCGTCTGTTGGCAATGATATATGTTCACCCATCCCAGCTTTGCTTTTCACTGTGAGCTCTTTATTTCTTTCCTTAAGTAATGTAAAAAGCTTTTTACGTGTGTGAATTTAAATCAAGAACTGATTTATTTTATAGTATATATCAACTTGTGCACCAACATCAGCAGAGGTTTTGTCAACTACCTGTTTTATGGGGTCACTGTTGCCGGGCAGATTGTTCTTCGCATCAAAGAGTCAGATATGCATCGGCCAATCAAGGAAAGACTGATTCTTATTGACTTTATTTTGTAGTTTTGACATGGTGTTAGTGAGCTGTCAGAGCCAAACATTATCCAGTGAACATTAATTATGTATAATTATAGATTTATTTATTTATTTTTGAACTGTGCATTTGTAGTCCTTTACTGAAATCAAACAGGTTTCACTCCACAGGTGAGCTTGGTGTGGCCAGTAATTTTCCTGATTTTCTGGGCATTCCTGCTGATCTTCTCTCTGTCCTCGGAGCCTGTGGCGTGCGGCATTGGCCTGGCCATCATGTTTTCAGGTGTTCTTGTGTATCTATTTGGCGTATATTGGGAAAACAAGCTCCAGAGCTTCAGTTCTTTTGTTGGTATGTCTTAAGATGATTTACAAATGTCAGTTACATACATTTGCATTAGACTAAACAGATGATTTGAAATGAGGCCTACAGAAACTACTAAAGACACTGATCTGTGGTTGTCTGTCTTTAGCTAAACTGACACACTTGGGGCAGAAACTGCATGGTGGTTTATCCCGGTGAGGACAGAGATGGAAATGAAGACAAAGAGGATGCTGAATAGAATTACAGAAGTAAATTTACAGGTTTATTAATGGATATTCATTCAACTGCTAAACTTAAGCAATATGAGTGTGGTAGATTTTGAAAATGCAAAACAAACATCCACACAAATGTGGAGACTAATTTAATAATTAAAAAAATAAAAGAATTTATTTTAATTTGTAAGACTGGCCTTAAGAAACATCCTTAGTGCAACACTGCCTCCCATTGGCAATATTATTAGACCCAATATCAATTGCTGTTGCCACTGTTACAGAGAATTTTGTATTTTTATATTGAGCATATTAGTTGATGTTGTTGTCTTGATCATTCTCTGGTGTTTGTATCCCCTGAATTGTATTATCTATATAATACTATCTGTACTATTCTGTATAATAAATGTCTTTACCAGCATGGAATCTTGCCAGCATGGAAAATGTCTGTAATTTAGGAGTAAATGGGAAGAATTAGCGAGCTGTGTCATATAACCCACATCCTACACCCTGATTTCATGGTAGACAAGGACAACAAAACACATCCAGATTTCTGTTACACTGTTGGCCTTTGCAGGATAGTGAAGGTACGGTAAACCAGCACCATTTGTTTACTTGTTAACTTAAACTTTACTTTAAACTTGCCTATTTCCACTGTAAAATATTATATAATCAATAGGTTATTACAACATTTTTACATTGCTTTAACTTATCAAAATGAGTTTAGTAATTTTCAACTTTTTTAAGTTATACAAGATTCAGCTGTTTTTTAAAGTCTGTTTATTGTAAATTCAAGTTCAAATAAATACATTTAATAACAACTAAAGGAAAGTTCAAAATTAACATCAAAATGTGATGGTTAGAATTGACTAGAATGTGTGACTACAGTTAAAATACTTTATACAATGTGCTGCTATTATACAGACTCCATTGTTTTTAGTGTGACTTTATTTCACTACAGTCCATTGTCCATTCTTTATAAAACAAGTGGTTGCTATCCTTCAATGCACAGTGCTGTCTAGAACAGAGTTGGCAGAGTTCAGCTCCTGAACATACACTGGATAAATTAATGTCAGCTATGTTTCTAGCAATTTCACAAGTGTTTCATTTAGACACTACTTTTTCTTGATTATCCCAACATTGTGACAATTAGCCTATTGCTCCATCAACAAATTGTCTTTCTATATGGATCTGAAATTCAGATATCAACTTTTCACTTCCTTGTATATATTCCAGTTTACCTAGATCCTTTTTATGAGAGACTATCTAATTTTTCTCAGTAGTTTTTACCTAATACACTGTTCAAAAAATTGTAAGTTTTCTTTTTAAAGAAATAAAAAATTGTATTGAGCAAGGGTGCATTAAATTGATCAAAAGTGAAAATAAAGACATTTATACCAGTATACAAAATATTTATTTGTCAAATAAATGCTGTTCGTTTTTCTGAAGAAAAAAAAATCCAACTAAAATATTAAGCAGCACAACTGTTAAACAGCATCAATAATAAGAAATGTTATTTGCGACAAATAACTATTGATCACATCATGATTTATGATAAATTGAAATTTGACTTTAACTTTAGAAATCATTATTTTAAAATATAATGAAACATATTTATATAAGGCCAACGTTAGCAGTACTACAAAACTACTATTTTACAGTATTTTTTATCTAATAAATTGTTGGTGAGCATAAAAAGTAAAATATTTACATTCTATATGATAAAAACATTTTCAATGAACGGATTCAAAGGAATATAAAGGTAACAGAATTATTTACTAGTTTAGGACTACTTATAAAAGTAATAACATAAAAATGTATATTAGTTATTTTTATTAAATAAATCTGTAAGACTACTTTGTAATATTCATTGAATCACTTACGGTACTTTACTCATAGACAGTAAAAGAAAGACTTTACTTTACTTTGAAAAAGGACGGAACGTCAGAAAATAGTTCGCGGGTCCTTTAAATACACACAAATCATTTTCTAGTTCCCGAGCAGCTGGACGGGAATGAATGGCACACCCGGATGGCGGAAGTCGCGCTGTACTATGAGGCTTATGCACATTTGTATGCATGCTGTTACTGCGTAAAGTTGCTCGTAAAGTAAAATATCTTCTCTGGTTACCAACGGATACATCGTAAGGTTAAACAGAAAAGGAGGAGCGGATGAATTAGTCACTGAGCAGCCAGCTGGCTTTGGCGATTGGAATTACTGCGCTGCCTAAGGTAAGACGATGAGCCCGGGATCACTTGCAGGAAACGTCAGCGGATATAAACACAGGTTTACAACACTCGGGAGGTGTACAAACTTAACTTTTGCCACCGAAAAGTATCCTAAGTAATACTCAGTTTAATCACAAACAGATGCAGTGCATCACAAAGCAAGACATGTTTACATCTCCTGCAAACGATGAGAGCGACGAGCAGCACAAATTGATCGCCGTTTTCGGATCATTCAAGTGTCGTTATCTATTGACTGTTGACGTTTTATCAGGATTTTATTGCATCTAATTTTAATGCACATACAGCGTTTGTGTTTAAAGGTGGTGGTTCGAGGAAACAGGCTATTTATGAATTCAATGACTGCGCTGTATATATGAAAATGGCTCTGTTAGATGTCAAAACTATAATGAGATCATGTGGAAATGTGGAATGCATTAATTTGTAGATTAGTAACGTCACAGCGACTGAAGGCCGCGCAGCGCGCGCGGTGCGCATGCGTGAATGGATGTAGTCATCATGGGAAGATCTGAAATGAAAGCAGGTGTAAAGTTCCTCAACTGGAGGTCGAGAAACCAGAGGCAACAGGCCCAAATAACCTTTAAACTATTTAGGTCCTTAGAACAATTTTAGAGGAAGAGTACACTCAAAAATGAGACATTTCGTAATGTTTACATTGTTCTTGTTCATATAATACAAGTATGTAATGACTATCAATGTTAAACCATTGCTTTGTTCTGGGTATATGCTGGTTCCTCTTTCAATTTCTATGAAATCTTAATTTCTCTGATTACAGATACAGTCATGACTCCATCAGTGCGTTTACAAGAAATGATCCGGGTCATCCGAAGTGCCCGCACACAAGGCGAGGAGAGGGGTATCATCCAAAGAGAGTGTGCAGATATCCGAGCACAGTTTCGCCATGGTGACAATGGGGAACGTTCGCACAGCCTTGCAAAACTACTCTACGTGCATATGCTGGGCTACCCTGCACACTTCGGCCAGGTGTGCTGTTGCATTGATTGATAACACGTTTTTACATCTCCAATTATGGATACATCACATCTTAGCACCTTAATTCTCATCTGTGCATCCCTCTGTATATTCTCATATTCGTCTTTTCACCGTTTATATCTTACTATGGTGATGATAACTTTAGTATTGACGACTCCTGCAGATGGAGTGTGTTCGTCTGATTGCCAGCCCCAGGTACAACGAGAAGCGGATGGGTTACCTGGGAGCCATGATGCTCCTGGATGAGAAGCAGGATGCTAGTTTACTGATTACCAACTCAATCAAGAAGTAAATGCTGTATATTATTATATATAATATATGTTATTTATATTATTACTCGATTCCAGTTTCAAATCGTTATTCTGTCTGCCCATTTTTCTCTCTGTTGTAGTGACCTTTCCCACAGCAGTCAGTATGTTCAGTCTCTGGCTCTGTGCACTCTGGCCTGCATGGGTTCAGCTGAGATGTGTCGAGACCTGGCACCAGAGATCGAACGGCTCCTCAGGGCCTCTAATTCTTATATCAAGAAAAAGGTCAGTTCATGACATTTCATGCCAGTAAACTTATTTAAGTATAGTTAAAGCATGGGCGCAGAATATGCGACCCACCAATATCCAGCGACTACTGAATTGTCCCTAGATATGATTTTTATGTCTTCACCAATGTCAAAATCAAACCTACGCCCTTGTGTTTAAGTCACGTCCTCATCCAGATTAACATAATCCTGCTAAACTGTTATGTTTTGTTTTTTTCTGTGTACTACTGATAATGATGCCTGCTTTAGGCCACGCTGTGTGCCGTCCACATAATAAGAAAGGTCCCAGAGCTTGCAGAGCTGTTTATTCCTGCTGCAAGGTCTCTTCTGTCTGAGAAGAACCATGGTCAGCTACATTGTTTCTATTTATAACTTGTGTTTTCACACAAAACAACTTTGTATTATGTGCAGTATTTTTAATATGATGGGGTTTTGTAACTGCCTGATTGTTTTCACAGGGGTTTTGCATGGGGCTGTAGTTCTTATCACTGAATTGTGTGTGCAAAATCCTGACACTCTTGATCAGTTCCGCAAGGTAATTTAATTGAATTTTATCCAAAACGTTTACTTTAACTACTCAGTTATACAGACTACTAATTATTTTTTTGCTTCCCATCCCATAAGGCTGTTCCTGAACTGGTACAGATCATGAAAGGTCTTGTGACATCCAGTTATTCTCCAGAGCACAATGTAGCTGGTATCAGCGACCCCTTTCTGCAGGTACAGTCAAGCTTAATATCAGGCTACAACATACTTTCTACATGGTACACTGAACTGTATGAATATCAGGACTTGATTGGTCTATTTTTGTCCCTCAGGTGCGCATCCTTAGATTGCTAAGAATTCTGGGTCACAATAATGACACCGCTAGTGATGCCATGAATGACTTGTTGGCACAGGTATAATAGAACAAACACACCCTGTGAAATGCAGTTAATCATATTAGTTATGGATTTTTAAAGCAGAGTTTTAATGCTTGATCTTGGTGATTCTGTTGCATAGGTGGCTACAAATACAGACAGCAGTAAGACTGCAGGCAGTGCTGTGCTGTATGAAACAGTCCTAACTATCATGGACATCAACTCAGAGAGTGGGCTTAGGGTTGGTGTCAATTTCATATACGATTTAATATACAGTTTTATGATTAGTAGGGTTGTTTGGGTTAAACAGGAGTGGAATATGATGCTTCTGTAGTTTATTTCAGGTCATTTAATGCATATAATTTATGTCTTTTAAGGTGCTAGCAGTAAATATTCTGGGGAGGTTTCTACTTAATAATGACAGGAATATTCGGTAAGTTTCTTCTTTTTTAAATACTTTTATATTTAAAAGCATTGGAACTCAGTGTTGTAGTACTCGAGACTCGGACTCGGTCTCGAGACCATATTTTAATGGTCTTGGTCTTGTCATGGACTCGTGTCCATTTGGACTCGGAATTGACTCGTACTCGAACATTTTTTTTTTTAGGACTCGGAATTATTCCCGAGTCCACTCGAGTTCAATTCCAAATATTTTTCATGATTATTAATGCATGTTAATAAAATATTTCTTTAAATTGATTGACACGCCCAGTGATTGGTGATTTTCTAGTGCGCAACTGCGCATGACAAATTGTAATAAAATTACTTTTAACACCACCTACTATGTGGCCT